TTTTTAGTACCATTCACTGAGTATCCAAGCTCACCCTCTCTATATATATGTAGGTGATGAGCAGGACGTCGGCGACGCCTAGACTGTTTTTGAAAGCTTGTTTTGGATCCATGATTATGTCGGCTTTGTTTTTGCATTCACGTCGGCGATGTCATTTATTTCCCGTCGGCGAATCTTGAAAATCATGCTTCTTGGCTCGTATTCACTATGTTTTTGTATATGGAGCACACTTTGGTTTCAATTTCCCATTCACTCGGTAATGGTTTTGAGCAATCAATTATACCACGTGAATCACAACGCGGCATAGAACGCGTTACCACTTTGACCCGAGTAAATCGACGCTCGGGGCCCACCTAAAAAATAGACCAAACTTGAGAAAAAATTCTGGTTTTACCCAGAATTTTTCTACCATTTCCAATAGTGGTTTCTCTTTTGGATGTAAACACTGTGAATTGCTTCTACCCATCGTTCGTATCATCGCAGAAGGTTTTGGTCATGGTGTTGCCGCCGCTTGTCGGGGCAGTTGCTGGCTTTGTGTCTATGGTCTCCCCTTACACCCGCCATGGTATTGGATATTCTTCAACCCAGTCTTCAACAAGCTCTGAGGCCTTGTTTGTTTAAATGGAGAGATTATTAGTATGATAGAATTGAGTGAGAAGATTACTAGCATGATCATATTTGATTAGAGATGTAAGATAACTTATATTTCTTTATGTATTATATAGTGATATTAGTTAGTTGAAATTAAGGCCTCGTTTGGCAAGAGGCTATTTTAGCCAATTAGTCAAAAAGTTACTAAATTAGCCAAAAAGTCAACAACCCATACCAAAAAGTCAAATATTCTCTTTTCTCTCTACTTTTTGCATATCTTTTCGTAATTAGCCAAAAAATCATCCCAAACATACAAGTTTTTTTTACCTACCTTTTTAGCCAAATAGCCAAAAAGTTACTAAATTAGCCTGTTCCCAAACGAGGCCTAAATTTATAAAATTATGTAAAAGTCATTGTTATACAAAAAGTGATTTTGTTATTTTTATAAAGTGCATGGCAAAATAATCTTTCCACCTTCAATCTCATGAGATTAGAATTCCATAGCAATTTTGTACAACAAACATATTTTTTTTGTAAACTAACCTCCAATCCTCTCATTCATCTCTCAACACAAACATGCATGGCCTTCTCTCTCTCTCTCTCTCTCTCTCTCTCGTTTGTATTAAAAAAATAAAAGAAAATTATATTCACGTACCTTGAATTTTTTTTAAAAAAATACAATTACTTTCACACTTTTAACATAATTACATTAATCTCCCTTAAGGTTTTAATTTACACAACAATTATGTCATTTTTCATCAATAATTCGTTAGTTATATGAATAAAAAAAATAATATTGTCACTTTTTATATATACTAAAATGTATATTTATCTTTTTTATTTTAATATTTATATTCTATTTGTATTAATTTCAATTGATTTAAACTTATTAAAAAATAAAATAAAAAATGATGTTGAGGCTGACTAATTAGCCAATGTGTGCTTGGCCTTGTTTGGTAGGACTTATTTCTAGTTTATTTCAGCTTTTAACTTAATTTAAGCTATTTTGATGTGTTTGATTCAGCTTAATAATACAGTGTATAGCTTTTTGTAAGTCAAAAATCAACTTATTATTTGAGTGGGGGAGGAGAAACTTAATTTATAAGTAAAAAATCAGTTTATATTCACAGTTATAAGCTATAAGCTGTTAGGCTATAAGTTATAATCACTTTCTCACAAAAGTATACATTTTCTTTTGCATGTCAACTGTTTCATGTTTCTACTCCAACCATGCTCTTTATTTTAGCTATTCATCTAAATATTATTAATTTTATAGAATGCCACGTCAATAACAAAGATGGAGGGAAATAATCCTAATGATTAAATACATTTTGCCTAGCCTTGAAGGCTAGCTACATGTAGCTAGCGAATGTGAGCTGAGCCAAAATGCCTAATCATATGCCTAGTGCATTGGAGTTGAAAAAAGTAAGTCACATTAGGCATTTTGACTAACAAGCATTATATGCCTAGTGGGTTGGAGATGCTCTAAGAGGATGAAAGATGCTTTTAACGCTCGTCCTTCTCTTTTCTTCTATTATTGATGTTTTGTCTTCTAATTCATTAATAAAATAGGAGATGCACTAATAAATCTCAAATTAATAATTTATACACTGTTTAGTCTTAAAAGTTTTTTTATAAACTGAAAGGTCCCATTACAATGTTTCAAACATCAGATTAATGTTTCGAACATTAGATTGATGTGCAAATGGGACTAAATGGAGCATAAGAAAACTTTTAGGACTAAATGGTTCAACTTTTCAGAAACTAGGACTTATGGGTAAATTTTCCTAATAAAATTCCAAAAAAAAAAAAAAAAAAAGAAAAAAAAAAGATGAAAGATGCAAGACGTGGGGGACACTGAACAGTGGGGACTTGCAAGGGTTTGAGGGTTTCAAAGCTTTTGGAGTCAAGATGTTCTTAACTTTTTTTTTGTTTTGTTTTTTTATTTTTGGTTTCGTTTAATTAAAAATTTCTTGAGGCGGAAGTTGGTTGTATGGATATGAATAGCAGTAATAGGGATATTCGTATTTTCCAAATCTCTCTTGGTGCATTCTATTTCTTTGTATTTGTAATTTTATATGTTTAATGAAATTTTTACTTTACCGATCAAAAAATATATTTGTGATATTTTGTTATGATTTATAACAGTATTAGCTATAATTCGATTATAATATGGTTATAAAATCATACCTTTTAATAGGATGAAAGATAATTTTATAACAAATTACTTAATAATATTTATCGAGTTTATATATATATTACAAAAGGAGAGTCCATAATTGTTATCCGGGCCTATGGGGCCCACTACATGTCTCATTTTAATAATCCAAACAGTTCATTATATAAGGTACTTCATGTATATCATCTACAAAAAAAAAAAAATTAAGTTGATTCGATAATCATAACCTATTCAATTTATTATATTTGTGTCATCAAAAAAAAAAAAGAGATGAATGTATTTTTAAAAATAGATCATCTATTTTTTTATGACAAAATGTGATAATTACATGAGTTACGATTATCGGATTAACCTAATTTTATGTATGAATGTTATAGGGGAAGGACTATAAAATGAATGATTTATCAAAATAAGATTTATGGTAGATCTTACCAACTCAAACAACACCCTTTAATCCATAGGAAGCCCAGTCCATTAAAAGTGGAGATCACATTCAGATAATTAACTTTAGTAGGTGAAAATATATAACAATAGTTATTATTTTTGTTAAGCTAATGCAGATAAAAAAGATATGTTTGATCATATTTTTGTTTTTAATTATGTTGACAAAGAATATCCGACTAATATAGTAACATTATTATTATTATTATTATTATTTTATTTTTTTGTGGTGGTAGAAATCAAAATTTAAAATTTTATAATAATTTTTTTGATAAAAAATTGCATATGTTTTTGTTTCTTAAAATTTGAATCCTGAATCCGTTTCTGCAATACAAGGTATATATATGTACACTCAATCTTACCTTTGATAATCTTTTTTGTTAAGACAAATTACAAATCTGTTAAGATTTATTTAAAATATTAATTGTTTTTTATGATTCTGAAAATTATATCACTACTAAAAAAAGCACTTTTTGCAACCACTATAAGTCGTCGCAAATAATAAAAATACAGTCGCAAAAGACCTTTTCCGATGGCTCATGTGACGGCAAATAGAGGTCGTGTCACAACCCAAATCTGCCCTTAAAAGTTTGGCATCGTAACTGGCCAATAATCCGAGATTACCAAAGGCTTTCTTGAACAATAAAAAATAATTGGGGTTAGCGAAAGCAATAAACAAAAAATATCAATGGTTCAATGAGTTGTGCATCTATATGAACAAATATGTACACGTATAAACGTTAATTTACCCACAAAACAATACATAACTTATAAACTAAGATTGTATACAAGACATATGCACATGTGGAAAGTGTACACCAGGAGCAAAAGCTTGGCAACGGCCTTCCAGACCTAGCCCCAACTCGGAGGCATTCAAAACAACTAGGTAGGCTTTAGAACGATGGCTCGGCTAAAGACCCCTTCTATACTTGTCCTCTGAAACGCTCACCTATACGTAGATATATAAAAACAGTCAATTAAAGCTCAGTGAATAATATTAAAGTAAGGGTTAGTGAACGAATTCCAAATATATCATATACAGAAAACCGATCATACATATCTGTCATATCAGTCTCATAACAGAACATAATAATGGTACATCCAAAGGAACATATCACATATCGTCTTCCGACTAGAGTAATCGGTTCCGAATACCGATTAAACACATATCACCACAATGACGTAGCTAACGAGATCTCGTAATCACATGTATGTAATGGACCCGTACCAATGTGCCGTCCCCCATGACTTGGGACTATCCTTGGATACAATACTAGATTTGCAAACCAAATATTCGTTCACAGAATCAAAATCACATTTCAGAAACATATCATATCATACAGCATTTCGTATAACATTTCAAGTACAATACATATCAACATGTCTTTACAGAAATGTTACTCATAGTAGGCTTCCAAAACCGATTGTTCGGTCTTCGAGTCTTGACCTACACACATAAACATCATAGCACAATTTCTCAATACACATTTAAGTCATTCAGTTGATTCTTAACTTTATTCGATTATCCGCTATTCGTTCGTTCAGTTACTTTTATTCTTTTTTTGATTTCTTTCATGCTTATGAGATGCTTATGGATGTAAATTACACTTGAAAACCATGTAAATGAAGGCCTGTAAGTCTGGAAACGGAAAGAAAACAAAATTGAAAAATCTGCCCTGTTTGGCAGCTCGTGCGGTGGCCTTGGCGCACGAGTGAATGAACTTCAGAATATAATTTTGGCCAAAAAGGGATTGGCTGCTCGAGCGGTGGCCCAAGTCGCTCGAGCGATCTGCGTACAATTTCAGTTCAAAATTCTGCTCTTGAATGGAGTCTCATTCTTTCCAAAATCAAACTTCATTTCCATGTATTTCAAGGCCAAAAACTTATAAAAACATGTTGAATGCAACATATCTAGTTTAAAGAAAATCATAACTCAAAATGGAACTTAAATTTCATACAAAACATTCAAACCCTTGAGTTGAAATACAAAATATGCAAATTAAGCTCCCATCCTTGAAATTCATAGAGTTTATTCTTCAAATCTCAAGAATCATGTAAGAAAAACAAGTTGATGAACATGATTTCCATGACTCTATGCCATGCATGAGGATACAACATGTTCCTAACATTATATAGCAAAATACATGCACGGTCTTTGAGTCTTGACCTACACACATAAACATCATAGCACAATTTCTCAATACACATTTAAGTCATTCAGTTGATTCTTAACTTTATTCGATTATCCGCTATTCGTTCGTTCAGTTACTTTTATTCTTTTTTTGATTTCTTTCATGCTTATGAGATGCTTATGGATGTAAATTACACTTGAAAACCATGTAAATGAAGGCCTGTAAGTCTGGAAACGGAAAGAAAACAAAATTGAAAAATCTGCCCTGTTTGGCAGCTC